GTTATTAGATTAGATTAGATTTTTTTTTAAAAGTTCCATTTATTGTTTGTCTTTTGCACTGAATGGAACTGGAACCTCATTGTCTCGTCTTTCTTTATACTGTTCTGTATATAGCAGAGATGACAATAAAGTTGGACTTTGACTATTAAATGGCACATACCATTGCAGCACAGCACCTATAACACCTTAACAATTGTTCTAATAGAATATTATGGTGAACAGTTTCGAAAGCTGCACTTAAGATCTAGCAGGACATGCACAGAGATGAGTCCACTGTCAGAGGCCACAGAAAGAACTTCACTAAAGCTGTTTGTGTACTGTGATGAGCTTTGAAATCTGACTGAAACTCTTCAAATAAGCCATTCCTCTGCAGATGATCTGTTAGCTGTTTGACTAATACAATTCTCTGAGCTCGACAGAGCCATAGAAGTTCCTTAACCCATCCTGCTGATGGAGGAACAGGATGAGCAATGTCAGAGCCTTAAAAAATTAACTCCAACAGCCACTGGTGTGAATGTCTCTAATTAAACAATCAGAAATGGACTTCACAAGGGTGGCCTGAGGGTTCAAGGTCCTCTCGTGGGCCCTGTGTTCTGTGGAACCTGATTAGCATTTACAGTACTTGGAACGTCCATTAGTAACCTCCTGTGCTTTCTAACTATGAGAGCAGGTTCACCCTGGTCACATGTGACAAATCTGTAACATCATTCGAAATGACCTGTTTGGTGGTGGGTCAGTGATGGTCTGAGGAGGCCTATCCATGGAGGAAAGCACATAACACCACCCTGTCTGCCACATCTGGGAGGACATTCTATAGGACAGCGGTCTCCAACCTTTTTTGCGCCACGGACCGGTTTATACCAAAAATATTTTCATGGACCAGCCTTTAAGGTGTCGCGGATAAATACAACAACATAAAACTAGTACTGGTACCGAAAAGAAGAAATTTTATTCATAACACACGTGAAAAGACCCAGGAAAACTGAGTAAACGATAAAAACGATAACAAAATAATGCTGAAAACCGATAAAAACCCTGAAAGCTATACATTTCACACCTGAGCCTCAACTCTCGCGGCCCGGTACCAAACGACTCACGGACCGGTACCGGTCCGAGGCCCGGGGGTTGGGGACCGCTGCTATAGGACATCATTCATTGTCTCATTAAAAGCATGCCCTGACATACAGTTATGCGTACGAGCCGATGGGGGCCATAAAAACTGCTACAATTTGTAATGCTGCAAAGAAATTTCAGCAGAATAGACTAACCTGCCAAATATTTTTTTTTATATATTCATTCAGTTTTGCTTTTTATTTCTGGGTTTCATTTCCATGAAAAGGTGTGGCAACATTTTATCCCTAACACATTACCCAATTCACAACAGTAAAGATATTCAGCATTTTTTTTTCCCCGTTGAGATCGGGTGTGTGTATGTTCCAGTAAAGAACTACATTTCAGGAAATGAAAGAATTATGACTGGAGAAGAAAATGCTACTTTGGCAGGTTGTGGTTTGCAGCTCAGCTGCAGGTCAGAGTGGAGCAGTGGGTTCCGGGTTTGGTGTCAGGGGAGGCTGACCCTGATCTGATGACTTAACTGTGTACGGCATGTAGCAGAGGCAGGCAGCTGAAAAGCTGCTGCAACTGTCAATAAAAATCAATTTAAAAAAAACAAACATTATAAAAAATATATATAAATACAAAATGATAATCATAAGTTACAATCATTTAAATCACATATTTACTAGATTAAATCATGTTAAAGTCCTAGAATATAATGTATGTTTTTCTGATAGGTCCCTGATAATTCAGTACTTCTATTACTTACTATACTTTGACCTATTATGGATTTTACTTAAAAAGACATATTCATATATGTAGTTCTAGACCTTTCTTTCCCCTTATTCTTCTCTAAAAAATAAAAATCCTTCTTCAACAGATGTGCCATTCATGCCATTCATTCTGTGTTGTTGTTGGTGGTAGTGATGTTGGTGTTGTTTATATTGTTGCTGGCGTTGCTGTTGTTGCTGGTGGTGTTGTCATGGTCATTTTTGTTGTGGAGGCCGATGAGAAAAATGTAAAAGCTGGCAAAGGTCGCACGGTGGATTTCAGTTTTGAACTCACTGAAGCTGCGAAGAATGACAGTCAGAGTCATAACACTACTACCAATAGTCATAACAATACTGTTCAAATCTGCATGTGACAAACAATTCGAGGTTTTGTGGTGTTTTGCTAAGAATGAAAGTTGTTTGTTTTTTTTGTCTAAACCTAACAGTATAGTCTACTTAAAAGATTGTCAGTGAGAAGCAATGATTTTTTCACAGATTTATAGACATGAATACAATTCTTAACCTTTTAGAGTTCTGCTCAACCAATTGGTAGAGTACATTTTCAGGCCCTATACAGTTGGGCAAAAAAGTATTTAGTCAGCCACCGATTGTGCAAGTTCCCCCACTTAAAATGATGACAGAGGTCAGTAATTTGCACCAGAGGTACACTTCAACTGTG